AAGGAAATCAGAGGACAGGATTCTTTATGTGAAGTGTCGCTTTCTATGAAATCATGAACTTATCTACAACCAACTTCAGCATGATGAAATTCCATACCACCCAGTAATCCTTTTTGACTTAATAATGGCTCTAAGGTCCAAGAGTAATGAGGCTGGTAATTTTCCTGCAGTTAGTTTTATAACTCTTTGTTTTTTACTATTAAATAACATTAGCTAATGTTATTAGTTTCTTACTATGTGTAATTTACAAATTAGACTCCATCATAGGCCTGTGTGTATAGGAAAAACATTGGTGTGTACATAGGGTTTGGTGATGTTTCTAGTTTGGGATCTGCTATGGTCTTAGCATGTGCAAGCGATACTTTTTTTGTTCACTTGATATCATCCAGTGCAAGGAATAGAGTATAAAAATGAATGAAAAAAAAAGTAATGCCTCAGAGACTTGTGAAACATCAGTAGGAGCATGTTGGGAGTTACTGAAGGAGAAATGGGAAAATAGAAGAAATACTTGGAGAAATAGTGTCCAAAGTAGCCCTGAGTATGATGAAGGCTATCATTTTGCATTCTCAAGAAGCCCAGCCAGTTCTTGATAGAATGATCTCAAAGAAACCTAAATGTAGACACATCATTATTAGTGTTTGTTATAATGGCAAAAGCTGGCTAATACATGTACAGAGGAATTGGGCAGGAATAGAGCCCATAGAACAATCCACCCAGTAGAAGTGAGCCTCAATGAAATGAGCAGTCCGAGGCTCCATTAGATAGGGATAATTTTCAATGTCCCATAGCACAGCAGGATAATTACAGTTGATGGCGATTAATATTTCATGCTAACTACTAGAGAGGATTTTGAACATTCCCAGTACAAAAACATGACAAATGTCTAAATTGTTGGACACTCCCAAGTATCCCATGAGGGTTGATCTTCACAATCAACTTGACTGGATTTAAATTCACCAAGGAAGCATACCTCGAAAGAGCCACCTGAATATGGACAGTAACATCCCACAGACTGGGATCCCCAAATGACAAAAAGAAGGAAGTGTGCTGAGTCCGAGCCTCCACTCTTTCTGCATCCTGACTATGGACACAATACGACCAAGCACCCACACATGCTCCTGACACCCACACGTTCTTTCACTGCCATGGTGGGCTATGTCTTCTCAAACCTTGAGCCATAATATACTCTTCTTTCTTTAAGTTGCCTGTCAGACATTCTTCCACAGCAGTGAGGAAAGTTGCTGTATTTTAATATAAAAGTTAGCATAAAACATATGCCCTAAATTAATCAACAAACATGATATTAATGTTTCAAGATGTTACCTACCCTATAATCAGGCACAACTTATTTGTGTCAACTAGAAAAAAAAAGACTTAACAAAATGAGTAGCTGACTATAAACCAGAACCACGGAGCTTAGAGAGCATTGGACAAAATCCTCAAAGGTCTATGAAGTAAGAATTCTCTAGCCAGTAAATTTATTCTTCAAACATGAGTAAGTTAATACAAACCCAGTAAAGCAGACACAGAGAATCTATGAGACTGAACTGAATGGACGGTAGATAGTAAGCTGAATTTATGGGAAGGAAAAGGGGCCAGCGGAATAGCTACTACACAGAAAAATGCCAACGACAGCAATAATTTAGTTTTTGTTTGGCACTCTTAAAAAATCTTATCTGGTTTAATGATAACTACAAAAATCAATAATTATGCTCTCTATTGATGGCCACATAACGTATAAAGAGTCAGTGGTTAAAAGTGCATACTACTGTTACAATTCTATTCCAGGAGATCCTTCGCCCTCTCCTGGCCTCTATGCATATTTGCTGCACTCACATGCAAAACACACACACACATGCATACACATAAATAAAAGTAAATCTTGAAAAGAAAAAAATAGAATTTGGGAGCTGATTTTGCCCCAAATGCACATGTGTGAAAGACATTGTCCCTACAGTGGCACTGCCAGGAAATGGTGTAAGCATTTAAGAGGTGGGGACTTATAAGAAGCCCCAGGGTTGTTGTGGGTGTGGCCTTAAAGGGGACTATGGGACTACAGCCCTTATTTATCATAAGTGTTCTGTTACAATAACAGAAAACAGTCTAATACAAGTACAAATGAGTAGGGCAGGAATGGAGCCCATAGAAGTGAAGCACCTATATATCGTTAGTATTAATATGAACCAGAGTATTTAAATTAAGACATTAAAAACCCACAGCCCATATTCCTGTCTATCAACAGGAAAGTAGACAACCTGGTCCATATTCACTCAATACTGAAAACAGTGAAAGTGATGAACAGCTGAATCTTTTTAAAAGTATGGCTAAATTCCCAAAACTTCTGCTGACTGAAAAAGCTAACAAACACCTTTTTATTGTATGTTTTAATTGATGTGAAATTTGAAGACAGACAAAAGCAAGTGAGGATGAACGAACTGAGAACAGTAGTTGCCTTGGGAGGATGAAGTCAGAGGACAAGGATGTCTGGGATGTGTCAGAGGAAAACTTCCAGGGTAATAGACAGCCTGAACTTTGGCCTAGTACACAGACATGTGCACATATCAGAAGTCATCAAGTGGCATATTTAGGTGTTTATTTGTATACAAATTTTATCTTAGAAAAAAAGAGCCTGTAAACTTTGATGTTTTTTATTTAATTTGTGCTACAATGTTAGTTGCTGGCTGCAGTTTTTAAATGTGTCATAAGATAGCTTGCTGGTTAGTTATGTCATAAAGCAAAAACATTCACTATAGAGGCTAGGCCATAAGATAGGGATGTTCCCCTCAAAATTCTTTCAAATTTTTGTGCATTTGAAATTTTTCATAGTAAAATGTTGAGAACAACTGTATTTAAATGAACACAACTCAAGATCCTTCTTAAATCCAAGACACTTAGAAAACAAGCCTGGTAAAGGGACACACGCAGGAAGGGGAGGTGTCTACAGAGAGCCTTGTAGTCTTGAACACATTGCATTAGCTCACTGCACCTCACTTTGTTACTCTACAAGATGAGTACAATTAATCCTTCCCTTGAAAGTTTGTGATAAGGACTGGAGAGACTTGGTCTTCACGGGGTTATGAAAATACAGCATCTAATTTACTGTTTCTTGCCATAAGTCATAGTTAAATTAACCTCTTAGCCTTCTCACCCTTTTCCAGAGGCTAACAACATTTGACCTCCAACAATTGTTCTCTGTTTTGCTTTTTGGCATTTTGTTTTGTTTTTCTTTTATTGTCAAAACAGTTGGACATTGGCAGTGTCCCTTGGTTTAATAGCAGTGTGTTGATGGAGATACATGAAAATGTTGCATAGACATAAAATATACCCAAGGGGATCCATATGGAGCTGATATGGTATTGCACCAAACACTGTGGCATCATTTTGATGCCTAAACATAAGATTCACTGTCAAGTTCCCCCGCTGCCATTAGGGTGACTAACTCCTCCTGGTGTGGACTGTCCTACAGCACTGACTAGTCTGCATCCCAGAAAACTTTAGCCAAGGAAACCAAGCTCACTAGTCCCTTAGATAATACAAAAGTGATTCCACACCCAACATTCGGGCAAGTTCTTTCCTTGCCTTGAATGCTGCCTTAAAACTCAGACTTATAAGGATAGCACAGATAAGGATAAAGAAAATTCCCTTCCAGATGAACAGCTTTTCCATCCTCAGCCTGCTCAAATTCCCAAGATGAGCTGCTAAAGTTTAGTATCTGGCAGATGTTAGCAAGCTTTCAGTCAGCCTTCAGTTACCGCTCAGAGCCGTAGCCTGGTTAGCTCAGCTCTGTTTACTTTGAGAAGGTCCAAAATGGAAGTGCAGGCTTCAGAACCTAGCACCTGGGTCAAGCTGTCCCTGCTTACCCAGGACTAAGGCAGCACAAGACTCTACAGACAAAATTTACAGTTCTGTTCAGGAGTTTATGAAGTGATCCTTACTAAGATGGTAAGCTATGAAATGAGGCATGCAAGGATGCTGCATCTTTTGTGTAACCTGATCTAGAGGTCCACTGAGAGTAAGGACAGCAAAGCTTCCTCTGCAGGGGGACTCCCCAGTCCGCTAACACTAAACCTCAAGGAACGCCTTATACACTACAGCTGGCAAACACATATGGGCAGGGAGCAGGTTTATCTTTGCAAGCCCTGTTTACAAACAAGGCGCATTTGTTCTACACACAGTTTATCTTTGCCACTGGCACTTGAAGCATCCAGTTACAGCATCAGAACCATGACTTGGAGTCCCTCTCAAAGCTGTTCTGTGTCCATACATGGCTTTCGTAGATGACCTGACTGCGGTGGTGAGAGAATGAAGAAAAAGACACACCACGCACGCACGCACGCACGCACGCACGCACGCACGCACGCACGCACTGGAAGTTCAGCACATTTATCATACATAGTTGAACAGAGAGGCAGGAACATGACATACAGCAGGATAAGGAGGCAGATTAAGCTAATCTACTTGGGCTCAATCTCGGTAAGAGAGGGGGCTTCAGGCCATAAATATGGGGTCGGGGAGAAAGCTAGGGTGGACAGTTTCTGTGCGCACTGTTAACATCCCCACTTGGACCAGAGGAAGGCTGCTATTTTTCTGAGCCTCACTTTGGTTGGAAAAGCTTTGCCATTTCTCCATAGGTCTTAGGCTCTGGGGTCCTTAACATGGCCATTGTCAACAGCACATGATCACCCAGGACTTTTCTCACTCGAGACTTCCTCTGTTCCCTACAATATTGTATACTCATTTCTCTCTGGGGTTATTCATTTCATGGTAATCCCCTTGGTGCAGTGTTGAGAACCAGGTGTACCAACACACTCAGAAAATATTCAAACATTTACTAAACAAGCTTCATAGCCCAGGACATGTATCAAAACCACAAAATTTAAGCAGTCTTTCTGTTCCCAAATGTTATCTCATAATACATAGGAGAAAAATAAATGTATTCACAAGACATGTAATGCCACAATACATGGGTTATTAGTAACAAAATCAGAAAAAAAGCCAACCTTTGCTCTAAAAGAAAGAACATGACTTCACAGGGTCCATAGCGAAGCAACATGGCCTCAGTGAGTAGACAGGCCTTGAGGATGTAGTTCTGTAGGCTGTCCAGGTTTCTGTGGGAAAGCTGCTGTGAACCAGGAAAGACGAGAGTTGCACAGACCAAAAAAAAAAAAAAAAAAAAAAAAAAAAAAAAAAAAAAACAGTGAGACAAGATCCTCTTCTGGGTGCCCATTGTTAGGCAAGGATATCAGTCATTTCGTGTGTACCCAAGTTGTCTTACTTCACATGCTTACCAATTTTCCACCTTATTATTCAGAGCAAAAGTCATTCTGCTCTCTCAGCTTCATGCCTCCTCTCTCTACATATCTGTCATCTACCCTGGAACAGAACAAACTGGCTTTGGTGCCAGAACAACATTGGATTTTGTTCCAGAGACCTGGGTACTCCATGACAATGGGAAAGTGGAAAAGGATCTTTAAGACAAGGTTTAAAACAACAAAAATCATTCTTTGTGTAGTTACTTCTCACAGTCCCAAGGGCTTAGTGGACTCAGCAAGGCAGCCTTGCTTAGAGCATCACCTGTGGTGCCAACCAATGGCTGGATCTGAGTTCTCTCGAAGATGTTTTCATTCATGTCTGGGTTGGGGGATGGGGGTGGAGTTGGTGATGCTTGATCTCAGCTGTGCCCACTGCTAGAGATGCAGACTGAAACCCTCGTCTACAGAATACTTCTCCACATCATCTCTTTGTGTCACAGCATGACTAGGTCTCATGAATCAGTTCCCCAGAGAACCAGGAAGAAGCTGAAGTGAACTTTTGTGATCCTCCTCTGTGAATCACTTCTGTTGTAACTGTACAGCCACTTGGGTTCAGGGTAGAGGAGGATATAGGCTTTGTGTTGGGCAAGGGGGTGGGCATCGATGTCACATTCTAAGATGTGCCCATGGTTCAGACATATTGTGGGGGCCATCTTTGGAAAATGAAATCAGCTTCAAGCATAAGAGAGTGTGGACTGCCTTCATGCCTCAAAGGAGGAACACTTGGGGACCAGAATCTAGAGAGTTGGTATGTCCAGCAAGGCCTTTTACTCTGTCAAGAAAATTTATCTTTAAATGTACATTGTATGTTCAATATCTTAAAGTAACTAGAAGCACAGACTCTAGAGACAGACATCTTGGATCTGAGTTCCACTCCCACTTTTTTTGCTTGTGTGGTGTTGGGAAGTTGTTTAAGCTCTATGTGTTGATTCATCTGTCAGTTCAGTAAGCTGCCAGCCCCCAGAGTACAGATCTCACCTTTCTGTTAGAAAGACTAATAGGGTTACCACAAGTGAGTACTTTGAATGGCACCTGGCCCTTTTTACACAATATAAAATGGTTACCAGTGATTGTTGCTCATTGATTGTAGGAGCCCACCCATCTCTTTGTCTTGAAGTGGAACCCTCGATTTCATGGTCACTGTAGTCTTCTACTGCACCCTCCACTCAGAAGCCCCGGGCAGCTGGGCCCTTTGTTTCTTCCCCTCACTTTTAATGATGGTGCCCAGAGACCAGGTCAGTTGATTTGTATTGGCATAACAACTTGTGCTTTAAAAGGGAAACCATGTGGCTCCTGTGGGAGGTGATGTGTTTTGCTGACCCACTTTGACATTCAGCATTACTGGTAAATTATGCAGACAAGCTCTACTTTGCCTAGGCCACCACAGCTTCCAAAGTCCTTTATCCTGTCAGGCAAGGCGTGGAGTCTATCTTAGGACTCTCACTCACCCTCTGCAGGAGTTGATCTCTTTGTCCACTGTTTGGATGACCTCATCTTGCCTTCTAGTCCTGACTAAATTATCCTTCTGTTTCAAGGTTAAGTTCATACAGAACTCTTTCTAATATCTTTCGCCTAACCTCTTCCACCTCTATGGTACATGACTTAAAACTGTGCCAGAGCCATGGCCTGCTACACCAGTTTGGAATAATGAGAAGGTGGGTTCCATGTTTAAAATGTCTAAGAATTTCAAAACAGCAATAACAAAATATCAAGCCAAGTGTTGGGTCTTTCTAAGGGCCTAGCCCAGTTTGGATGTGGGGGTTACTAGTCCAAACACTTTTTAGGCTATCTCCACCTATGACTGCTTCTATTACATGATCCAAGGCTACTGAGAGCCAGGACAGCCGCTTCACATCACTGCTGCTAAGCACAATACACACTGAAGAAAAATAAACCAATAACAAAGGATGAAAGAGGGACATTTCAAATCTCCTGGAAACCCCGAAAGCACAAGGATTAAAGACTAGGACGTAGAAATCAGACATCCTGGTGCTGATCACCTAAGCCTCTGGAGACTTTAGGCAAGTCCCTGCCCTTTGCAGTCCTCAGTCACCACATCCACTAAATGGACAATGGACAGAGCATGTTTAGAACTCCTAATGTGATGAAAGGAGAAGGATGTGGCTTCAAGTAGGGCACACAGCCAACGCTGCAGCAATAATTAGAGTTAGTGAAGAATCAAACTGAAAATGGTGCTGTGTACTGCCGGAAGTATTTTCATGCTCGACAGCTTTATTTGATTTTAAACAGGCAAATTTGTTATTACAAAGACTGAGAAATGGAGATAACGTTTCCACTACGCATCCAGAAAATAGAATTAGGCCAGGCTTGAGTCTCTCTACCTTCACCCTGATATGATGGTGTTCTCAAAGAGATCAAGCTATGAGAATGTTCAGGAGTGAGAGCCCTTTAAATTGTATAGCTAAAACTTCATTCTTTCTGACCATGGTGCATTGCAAATTGTTGCCATACCAATTAGTACACATACTCAGAACTGAAGAATTAATGGGACAATGTTGATTTTTGCCAGTTGCTACTATCTCTTTAAGTGAAGCAAGAATACCTTTGTTCTTAATACGATGCCTTCTGTCTTCTGCCAATGATGGCGATGAAATGCTTGGCCAGAAGTGTCCGTCACAGAAACTAGTAACTTAGGCTTAAAGATAACAGCTTCATTGGTCCTTTCTCCTGATCATTCTGTCTTCTTGCTTGCTGGTCGATGGTTTGCTCAATTTTCCAGAGAAGCTAAAATGTAGCAGTAGTAGTATAACAATCTTCCATGTCTAAATGACAATAAATGAAAAGAAAACTGAAAAAAGATAGGTGCTATCTAAAAGTTAGACATTTTAGCTTAATGCAAGGGGCAGTTTAGTTGAAAGCCATGTGGTAGAATGGAGAAGCTGTAGCTTGAGAGAGACCATCTGGGAGTCTGGCATACCCAGATCACCTTCTACTGGGCATGGCACAATAGAAGCAGAATCATAAAGTGGCAACAAGCTGAGTCCAGGCAGGTGTATGGAGGTAGCACCTAGAAACTCCTTCAGGGTCAGTTTCCTGGCTAGGTAGGTATTTGTAGGCAGGTTGGGGAAAATTAGACTTTTTTATCCCTTGAAAGAGTAAAGTCCTTAAAAAATAGATTAAGAAAATGATGTCAAACATTATTATCTCTACATGCATTTCTGTACTGGAAATCCTGTTCGAATACTGGGCCTAATTTATTCTTCTGCATCAATATTTTTCTCTCATTTTTTACTTGATTCAAGTGAGATCTTCTCTAAGTACCCAACAATTCCACATTCTTAGAATGAATCCTCCTTTCCTAACCATTTACATGCCTTATCAGCAGACATATCTATCTATCTATCTATCTATCTATCTATCTATCTATCTATCTATCTATCTATCCCTAAAAAATACATACTTTAAAGTCATATATTTGCATTCTATTGCTCTTTATATTACATATCCATCCTATTTTTCCTCCCTCTCCTAGAGTATACTGCCAAGCCTTCTCTATTATATTCAGATGTCATCTCTTGTGAACAACAAACATATGATATCTACCACACTTACCCTCTAATAGTTTAGAGTAAGTCAAAGACAATTGGACTGCAGTAAAAATCCCCAGATTTCAAAAGCAGAGGACTTGGAATGTATGCACCAGTCACTAGCACACAGCTGTGATTAATCCTTCTGGTTAGAGATGATGGAGGGCTTATGTGATGAAATCAGTAATAACCCAGAGAGTAAAGTAGCATAGAAATAAGATGCCTAGACAAGAGCAGTTGAAGAGACAAAGAGTCTTGATGTTAGAATGGTCAACAACCATTATGATGCTGTAACCAACATCAAACAGAAAATCCAAAGGAAGCTATTTTCATTACCTTCATTACATGATCAGCATTTAGAGGGCATAGACCCCAAACTGATAAAAAAAAAAAAAGTTCTTCATTGATGACAAAATGCTAATGATGCATCCCCTATTTCTATTTTTGCTTCTGTTGCATAAAAAAAATGTCTAATGCTTTTAATCTTTGTATTCCAAGGCCTAATACAAAGTGACCATTTAATCACCATATGCTGGGAACTGACATGGAAATCTATGTGAAGGGATCATCCTCTAGTACTGAGTGGATGTGTGGGATGGAGAACACTACTCATTTGAATATGTCTACTTTGAACAGACTTCCTTTGTATTTAGACCATTTCTGAGCCTTTTAAAGATATGAACCAGGTTGTTAAGGAAGCCAGTGACCATGTTTTAAAATATTGAGTGATTCCAAAAGGTCATATTCTTGCTTCAAAGTAAGATGTGTTTGATGCTTTGACAATAAATGGACCCAGTTTTGGTATTACATATCAATTTTTCTTAGGGACATACTCTGTAGCATCAGTTTTCCTGGTGTGAGTACATCTGATTTCATCAGTGCTCTGTTCATCTGACATGAATGCTATGAAAGACAGGCACACCCTATTATGTGTGTACAGAACCTGAGCCATCCCTCATGGGGCTTCTCTTTCCTTCCTTCCTCTGCCCTCTCAGGTGCTTTCTCCTCTTCTGACTTGACTCTGCCACATTCATTTCAGGACAGGATGGCTTCTCCTGTTAGACTCTCCAAGGCAGAAAGGAAGGCAGGATAATATGGACTGAAACATCACGCTAGATAATGTAGATGTTTCCATCAGATTAACTGTTCTTTGAGACATCTGAAGGAGGCCACTTTCCATCTTTCCTAATCTGTAGTCCAAGGGCCTTCTTGTATAGGGTTGCCTAGGAAACATTGTGCTCAGTCTGTTGGAGGTTTTTGACCCTTGGTGGTCTGATCTACTACCTTCATTTAGCTGATGAGAGAATCGAGGCTCAAGAAAGTAGTGGACTTACGTTCCATCATTCTGTTGCTTACTGTTCAGAGCTTTGACCTTGTTAAGCTACTTTTCAAGCAGATACAAAGCATTGTTGTGCCATCTCTAAAGCCAGCCCCCATGAAACAGGACAGTTTCTGTTTAAAGAGCTTCACTGTGCTTCCTCACTAGTGACCAACTAGAGCCCAGGTCTTAAAACTTATCTGTGGCAATCTAAACTGCAGCATGCTTTTTTTCCAGGCCCTTCCTTCTGTCAGGTTTCAGGGGAAGCTGGGAGGGCACTGCACAAATAAACACAACAACGTGGTCGGGCTTTAGAGCTCTGCCTCGAGCTGCACATTGCCAGGAGTGAAAGTCATTACAGACCCTTTGCAAAGGTTGTTAAGACATGTGTAAACAGCCGTATAAACAACACCAGGTCAGGTCATGGAAGGAGGCTGGCAACTGGGGAGGCCAGGCAGAGCCTGCCAAAGTGTGAAATTCCCAGCAGGGAGAAGACATTTGGAAAAACAACTCCATCAAGTTTTATCAACACAAATCATTTCCTAAGTGGTATATTTTATTTAGACTATGTGTGGCCCAAACTTAACAAGGGAAGCTTTTATCAGTTGCTAGGGTTTTTTTTTTCCTTTCCCTTTCTTTTCTTTTCTTTTTTTTTTTTATCACTTCCAGATATCTCTGTTTCTGAATTGCTGGCAGAGTTGGTGGTGTGCTCATTTTTCTGGGCTCTCCTGTCTAAACACACCAGGGTGATGCTCCTGGAGGAGGGAGGGAGGAGATGACCTACACACACTTCCTGTTGGGCGTGCTGGGTGGTGCAGACCCTACACATGTTGAACTGTAAACAAACTTGGGCCTGGTGTTCTAATTTCAAGCCTCAGAGGAGACCAGCATACGGATGGATGATCATGGGGTAAAGAAGCCTGTAACGAGTCTTTCTCTGTACCTCCAGCTCCCAAGTAATGACGTGGAGACTTATTAGTTATGAAAGCTCAGCTTTTAGCTTAGGCTTGTCTCAACTAGCTCTTATAACTTATATGAACCCATTTATACTAATCTGTGTTCTGCCACAAGACATTACCTCTCTTCCATCTTGTACCTCAATTCCTCCTCCTCTTCGTTTCTCTCCCCAGAAATTCCACCTATACCTCCTGCCTAGCTATTGACCATTCAGCTTTTTATTACAGCAATCACAGTAATACATTTTCACACAGTGTACAAATATCCCGCAACAGGAGCCCCCACAAAAAAAGCTAAGTTATGACATGTTACTTTCTCTGCCACAGCACATGCTTTGGCACTTCCTTTTGGAGGGACTGATGCCGGAGAACAGTGGATTCTCCCATAACTTCCTACCCATCTGAGTAGCACAGCTAGACACAGCCATTTATGGGGAGCTGGGCTGAATACAGAAAAGTGACCTCCCTATGGCTGTGACTTGGCCCCCATGTGGAGAGCAATTCCTTACTTGATCGTGAGAGGGGAAGTCTTTGGAGATGACTCTGCCCACCTAGAGTCTCTCTTCCCCAGCATTCTAGCTGGCTTCGTTTCTTTGATTCTGCCTCTGTTTTCTTTGTCAGCCTCCTTTGCATCCCTGGCCTTTCTCTGCCCTGCTGTTCAGGCTCTACTGAGCACAACAAACCATAGGTACCCGTCCAGAGTCAGAGCCACAAACACACAATGCAGCTTGCTCCCCTTGCAGGCTTCCCTGATAACTATCACAATTAATAAATAAAAAAGGAAGGCTTTAAAATGTAAATAAGTTTGAATAAATATCTATGTCTCCTGAAAATAGTTGGAGAAATGTGCACTTCCTTTTAGAGGGTCTGGTTGAGCTGTGTGATTTAATACATAGAATGTGTACCCCCGTGAGGAATTGCCCTGGACTATACCTCAGGGAGACATGCCATCACCCACCAGGACAGGGGAAAAGCAGAGTTCACTGAAGGGCCAGGCTGCTGTGGATGTCCTTGAAGGAATAAATCAGTGGCCTTCACCACAGGTCTCTGATTGAAAGTCACAATGGCGAGTTTCCAGGGAAGAGGTGATACTTTGTGACTGAACAGTGGCTCACAGGCAGCTCTGTGTAGTGGTTACCAAGAGAACAGCATAGGGGATCTGTTAGTTTAGCATAGCTTTATTTTAACTGGAGTAATGCACCAGCAGCCTCTGATAGGAAGAACCCAGATGGCACATCATGTATCCATCCTTCCCATTCTCCCTAACAGAGAAACTCACCCTTCCAGAGACCCATATTCAGTGATGAACACTCTGCAGTATTTCCTCCTAGGAAAACTTAGCGATTGCTTCCTTTCTGTTTAGACATTTGCGTACAACTCTATGTGTAGACAAACAGTTCCTTTTTTCTTGGCCATGTATCTAGAAGTGGGACATACCTGCTGAAAAACAAAACAAGACAAAACACTGTTTAACTTTGTAATTGAATTGCATTTTCTAAGCAGTTCATAGTAAAAGGAGCCATAACTGGAGAGTTCTACTTTTTATCCCTTGTGCCCAGACATGCACACATGTTCCTTATCAAAATTCCCCAACACAGTGGCAGGTTGGTTACAACTGGAGAATCTGTGTTAATACATTCATATCACTCATACTCTATCATTGGGATCTTTTTGAGACAGGGTCTCACCATGTAACTACCTGGATTGGAACTCACAGTATAGATGAGGCTGGTGTTGGGATTCAATGCCACACCTGGCCTTAGTCTCCATCATTTGCCTCAGGGTTCATCTAGTATTGTACATTCACAGATATGGGTGGATGACATCCTATATCCACTGTTGCATATATACTTTACTGTTATACAGGACATTTCCCTGCTCTAAGCACACAGAGGTGCTCTGCTTATTTATCATCTCCTCACTATACATAGCAACACTGGCCTTTTTACTGGTTATGGTATTGTCTTGTCCAGAATGTCATATAATTGAAATCACCACATGTGTAGGCTTTACGAACTGGCTACTTTGACTGAGGAACATGTATTTGGGGGCTAATAAGATGATAAATCCACGGGCTCTCAGGCCTAATTATCTGATCTTAGCTTGATCTCTGGGGAGAACTGACTCCAGTCTGGTTGCCCTCTGACTTCCATTCCTGCTGTAGCACTGAGCACACACACACACACACACACACACACACACACACACACACCTTAATATTTTCAGGTTAAAGGAATATGCATTTAAAATTCCTCATTATCTAGTCATAGCACAATTGCTCATTCCCATTTCATGTTAATTAATATTGTATTGTCTGCCTGTGCTACTTTTTCTTTAGAGATTCACCAATCAAGGGACAGCTGCCTGCAAGTTTTGGTAATTGTGAACCAACTGATGTTAACGTTGTCATGCAGGTGTTTCTGTGGATATGTCTTCAATGAAGGAGCACGACTGAGTGCTATGTTAATAACTAGTTGAGTTATGCACAAATGCGTCAAAATGTCCTCCAAAGTGCCTGTCCCATTTTTGCCCTTCTGCAGTGAATCAGAGCTCATATGTTTCTTGCCAGTATTTGGAGTTGCCAGGGAGCTGGACATGGGCATCCTAATAGATGGTATATCATGGTATATCCTTGTCATTTTAATTAGTATTTCTCTGAAGACATGAGGGGGGGATTCTTTTACAGGCCTATTTCTCACCTGTATTAATTAATACTAGCCTCCACATATTGAGGAGTATCTCCTTCTTTTGGTTTTTATTTTGTTTTATCTTTGGAAGAGTTTATGGAAGGTTCATATTAATTCTTTCTTAAACATTTACTAGAAGTCACTAATTAAATTTTAAGCCCAGTAATTCAGTCTCTTAAACTGTAATATGTTTCCAGATTTTGTGTTTCTTCCTTAAGGAAAAAAAAAGTGTGTGTTTGTGTGTGTGTGTGT